CTTCAGAAAGATGTAGCCGTAGCTTTTGCTGATAAATCGGACGAGACACGTCGTGCTGTTGTATTCGAAATTCAGTGTGATCTTAGTCAAGTAGAGACAGTGATTCTCGCTCTCATCGTGCAATTCAGTGTTATCAGAAACAACAATCTCAGGATAGAATCGTATTCCTTTTTTTGTTGTGAAATTGCAACAGTCCATTTTGATGTTTATTTCTTACTAGTTAGTTCATGAAGAGAAAAACAAAAAAAGAATCAATTGATTCAACAAAAGTCTTTTGAGCAAGTTTCTCTTGTTCGGTAAAGAAGATATCATCCATGAATATTCTTCTATATTTTATCATTTCGATTTACTACCGATAATATCGAGATATTATTCCAATCTCAACTGTGACTTGTGCAACAACAAGGAAATGGGGAAATGATAGTCACATTGTCAACGACTCGATACGTATGGTGATGTTGTTCAGCACATCAGTGAGATCAGTTGAATCTGTTGCAGAAGCTGAATAAGCAACTAATTCCTTGTAAACTGACTCCGCTAGGACGTAACAGTGCTGTGCCAGATCCTTCTGATGATACTTTTCGTAATGACTGCCGAGAAGAATAAGAGCTGTTGCTCGGTGCTTTATATTCATGAACAATTGTTGATACAGAGCCATTGAAAAATAATAGTAGAGGATCTGATCTTTGATTGATAAGACTTCGACGTGATGTGATGGCAAACTTGCCGCTTTGCTAAGGATGTCGATAATGTCCATTGCATCCTTGAACGCGTTTTTCTGAAGACTTTCTGGAAAGGATAAAAGTTCATCTTTTAAACTGTCATTTGTTGAAAGTTTAATTAGTTTTTCGACTAAATCGAACAAGTTTAGTTTGTCAAGTTGTTGGAAAATGATCGATGCGTTTTTATACATCATTTGCGCTTGCTGAAGTAGTCCTTGCGATTTCAAATTACAGCTTAACATAAGTAAATGGTAACCAACATAATAAACGTAATGGTCAATATCGTGATCAACTTCGATCGATAGTCCTTTTTCATATTGATATAAGGCCGCAACGGTATTACCTTCGAGCATATAAGTATCCGCAAGCATCATATATGTTCGTCCTAATAGCAGCTTATCGATTGGATGTGAACTTTGTATTGTTGTCAAGCAGTGTTTTAACGCATCGATGACTAAATGAAGATCACCTTGCAACTGATACACTTCGGCAATAGACAGCAGAAGACGTATACGATTTGGATCATTAGTTGTAAAATACTTTTCATAAACTGTCTGAGCTTTGAGGTAATAAGAAAGAGCTATATTATAATCCTTCTTGGCACAATGAATGAAGCCAAGCCCGTGCAAGATAACCGCTGTTCCAGGATGTCTATCCGCTTTCAAGTGTTCGTATATAGTTATAGCTTCGGTGTAATGAGCCATTGCTTCATCGTGTCTACCCAATTCTTTCAAAATATTCCCAAGAGTTGCAAGATCGAGTGCAATACATGGATGATCTTGACATACATAGGTTCGCTTGATCTCTAGTGAATGCTGAGTTAGCTCAATGGTCTGTTCTTCATCATCTTCGAGGAAAGCAATAAGTGAAAGAATGTCAAGAGTAAAAGCTTTATCCATTGCAACATCGGAAGAAATACTTCGTTGTACAGCTCTAGTGCCTTTCGCAAATATTGCAGTGAGTCATCTTTTCTATTTTGGTCAGCGTAGACTTGAGCGATGTAAACCAAGTGTACAGGCATTTGTGGGTGATCAGACGGAAGAGTTCGATCGTAAATAGCTGTTGCATGACACAAATAATGTAATGAACGTTTACAATCACCTTTCATCCGATATATCATCCCAAGTGAATCTAAATCAATGGCATTGTCGAAATGATCCGATGCATAGTACGTTTCTCGTATTTCACAGGCCTCGTTGAAACACTTGATCGCCCGATCATAGTCCCCGAGATAAAAATAACAAAGTCCTACACGAGAAAGTATACAGGCGATATCATGATAGTAAATGCGATCATGTTAGATATTTGTATTGTTTTGGTAAACTTCCAAAACGTTCGAGATAACGAGTAGCGCTTTTTCGAATTCCCCCCTTTTTATCACAACCTTACTAATGTGAAGCAGAATAGAAATATTCACTTCCGAGGATTGTTTATCCCAAAGTTCAGCTGCATTTAAATAATGTTGTACAGCGTCTTCGAACAAACTTGTATCGCATAAAGCATGACCGATGTGAATTTCTAATTGCCATTCTTAGACCTCGTCATTCAGACCCTGTAGTTTTCGAAAATAGGCTAAGGCTTTATCACAATAGGCCATCTGCGACAGTAGATCGCCCCAAATGATACGAGCGTTCTTTTCCTTTAATTCAGCCTGATTTATTTCCAAATAACTTCTCGCTACTTTTGTCCCTTCATCTGTTGCTTCCATTTGAATCAGTATGATTGTGTTTTGTTCGTCCACAGATAGTAGACGAAAAACGGCTCCAATATCGATAAGCACTTCTTCTTCATTTTTGATAACACTGAATTGCACGATGGGAGCGAGAATCACTGTCTTTACTTGACTAAGATCACACTGAATTTCGAATACAACAGCACGACGTGTCTCGTCCGATTTATCAGCAAAAGCTACGGCTACATCTTTCTGAAGACTGGTAGATAAAAACCCATTCATCGATATCAAATTTCCAACATTGCCTTTCAGCTTGTCGTATTCATCATTGAGTATTCGTGTGCCACGATACAGAGTAACTGAAGGTTCGTATTCTTTTAGAACTTGATATTCTTGTAGTAAGCTTCGGCATATATCCCCGATAAAGCAACGAAATATGTATAACTGGTCGACATCTTCGGAGCGCAACGCTTTGTTGACATGTCGATAGAGAAACGGCTGACCAGTATACCAACGTATTGCATCGTCCGCATGGTACTTCTCTGCAAACTCTTCAATTAATTTCATTTGTTTATTATTATTTCGATAGCGTTGTCGCAAGAAATTCACCAAGTCATCTTTCGCCTTTGCATCGTTACTTGGAAGATTCAATAAAGCGTTTTTGAATAGTTGAAACCAGAGAAAATGCGCTGATTCTTTGGAAAGTTCACGAGTTGGTTTTTTATGTTGATTGTAAAAAGAAAAGACTAGCTTTTGTCTCTGTGCTAATTGGATATTTTCTCGGATTAATTCAGTCAAAGTTTTCAGGTCGAATGTACAAGTGATAATTTTGGAGTAATTCACTAGCATGTCCTCGAAATTTTCGTTGACATTGGAAAATAAAAACACCGAATCGATCTGACGCATTTGATGGATAACCGGCAGGATCTCACGTGCACATACAATACTTGTAACGAAGAAGAGATTCATTTTTGGTAAGGACGCAATGTGAGTGATACAGGACTGAAGACCTGAATGCGTCGTCAAACAAGCATTCAAATTTTCGTCTAGTAACTGTTTCTTCGCGGTTGTGGGTTCGATTTCGTTCGCGTTCGAATCATACCATATGACTGCTATGTTTTCTTCCATAATTCAATCGAATGATTAAATCATTTGAAATAGTTTGCTTCCAACAACTCTAGCCATACAATTGAAGAATTGAAAGAAAACGTCGAGTAACTATGAATGTTTTCTTTTTTCTTTTTTTTTTTCCATCAGCACGTGTTCAAAACAAGAAGTTTGCCTCCTTGTTGTGTCACTGGCGACCATGTTTTTTTTCCCTAGATGTCAGCAATTTTACCAATCAAATGCAGGGAAGAACGTCTTCTGAGAAAATACACTTTATTGACATGGCATACTACGCACAATCGTGGTGTTTGTATCGCTTGACGACCTATTTTCGATGCTCATCTCTGTTCAAGTTGCTTCTTATTTTATTTCAAGACAAGTTGTCATATCAGTGAGTGAAGTCTGTTCTTGTGTGAAAGAAAACAAAACTATATTCATATTCGAAAATCAAACGCGCCTGAGATACCTCGATTATTCATATTATCTCTTTATCTATATAATTAAATCTTTTGACAAAGAGATGAAATAAATAGACGAGCAATGAAATTGTTTTACGAATTGCCGTCTGCTTTATTTCTTATAGAGTAATGTGGGGTAATTCAGTAATGTTTTGGTATCCTTGTAAGTGTTTTTTGAAAATCTTTGTTATTTTTGGGGATTTTCGTGCGCACTTTCGCTACAATATAATAAGGACTCTTAGCTACCT